CTGAGTGTGTGTGTGTGTGTGTGTGTGTGTTTGTGTGTGTGAATAGTTCTTCTGTACCTGCTATAAATTGTTCATTGTTGTATTGTACTTTTATATTTCTTTTTCATTGTTTGATAATCAACACTGATTTATTATTAGTAGCAGTATTCATAAAGATATTTTACTCATTGCACTTTGAATATTTAATGTCCACTGTGCTTTTGTTTTGTGAATTGTCTGAATACGTAGTTGACACCACAAACGCTAAGGCACTAAGAAGTCAATTAGGCATCACCTGAACTCACCAAACTTCCTTTTACCTTGAGTTTTTAGGAAAAATGTTTTTCTAATGTTTTTATATTATTATATTTGTAATGGTATTATCATTACTAATATCAATAAGAAAATATACTTGTATTTCTTAAATCAGAGGAAAGGGATAAACTGGTGACATAGGTTGGGCAAAGAATTGACCTCTCTGTGGCTAAGCACTTGTGGATCCGTCTCTGTAAATACATTTGGCCCAAATACGCCAGGTGTTCCAAAGGCTGATTGTGGACAGCAATGTGATTTTAGTGCTTCTGTGGTCCACCTTTTCATAAAAAGAGGAACCTTCATGTCCTTTGATATGAACTTTCTGTTCATATAGACTGTGCCAGCAAGGTCTGTCCTTGACTGAAGGTAGTGGAGAAGAGTAGGCTATGAGCACCAATTGGCAAGTTATAGTTTGTACCCCATACCAAAAATGGACATATATAAAGAAGCAATCCAGAATCTCCAGTGGCATTGCTATTGCATCCAGTTGGTTAACCTTAACCCTGGGATTGGTAGCAAAGGCTGATTTTTGTAAGCCTTTCAACACTGGATGCCTTGCAGTGCTCTTATTATACTGCTCAAGCAAACTCTCCTAGTTCCTGATCTCTAAACAGACTCCTAGCCTATTTATGGTTAGGGACCTAGAAATTTGGGACAGATTATACGGAGCAGTCACCAAGCGAGGACAATCACTAACCTCTGCCAACTGGGGATCCTCTCCGGCTCTACATAATTACCACATCACCTCCAGCTTCCAGCCATCCCATTTGTAATTTACAATCCACACAAAATGTTAAAACGAGCAATAGAAACCATGTCCAAAAGTGTGGTCATCAGGTTAATGACAGTGTCATTAGTGTCCAGGGATCCCTTTACAGAGTGGGATTCTTCCCAGCTGTGAAGGGAAGCAAGATGAAAATCCCGTCACCAAGTGGCAGCGCTATGTTGGTCTTTCCTCCCTGCAAGAGAAGGAAAGATGATGCCAGAACAAAAACTGTTGAATAATAACTGGGAAGCTTATTACTTAATTGTCTAAATGTTGATTATTATATCATGTTTGGTACAATTGTACAGTGAAAATAAGAAAATATTTTACAACTAACAATGGTGCTTCACTAAAATTTTAAAGATTATCCAAACAAATGGGTATTTGATCAAAGAATGCATATAAAAACCCACTCTGACAAACTGAAGACACAGAGTTCACTTTGGACATTATTTACACCCTGCTGAACAAAGTAAGAGCCAATGAACAATAATGGAATACCATCCACAAATATGATAGCAGAAAGTTAAAAATAACAATTATGGATGAAATCAACTGGAAACTTTGCTTTACACAGGGTTTACTTGTATTGCTGGCAAGGCTGGCTCACAGTCAGCAATTACTATTATTTTACTCAATTTTCGTTATTGTATTTGCTTCCTCCCAGCTATGCTATTGGAAAGAATGTTTTGGATTTTCTATTTCTATTGAAATGTGGGTATCAGGGGACTTGTACGGTTGTATGATAATTGATGAAATGAATGGATTGACTTCTCTAATTTTAGTGTCTTCTTTCTTTATTTTTTTCAATCAACAGTAGATTTATAGAATCCACAAGTCTTCGATGCATAGTTCCAGGAGGGACAATCATTCTTCACTGAGGGACACTGTGCATAGTGTGACCAATTCTGCTCTGTAGCTGGCAGACACTCAGTGTGCCTGTCTAAGGATCCCAGGACAGAGAAGATTAGTGTGACTCACTTTTTACACTGGTAACCCCTGGTTGACACAATTCATTGAATCACTTGCTTGGCTTACACACTGGAGAGGGAGTACTATAGCAGCCATGACCCACAAAATGCAGTCAGTGCACACTCCACACACTACCCAGGTGGATCATGCTATATCCAATAGGTACCTTATTATTGGTCACCACAAGCATATCTTGAAACTTGCAACTGATTCCTGACTGGTCAGCACCAGATATCTTGTAGCACTCTCCTTGGACCACTTCAGCAAGCTCACCTAGTTCTTGATTCCTAAATACTCCCAGCCTACTTAAGTATGGGAAATTTGTCTGTCCACATTGAGCAGCCACCAAGTGAGGACAATCACTGTTCTTCAATACTGGGGAACCTCCCTGGCTTCCTGCACAACTTGCCCAGAACTACCACTTCACCTCCAGCTTCCAGCCATCACAGTGGAAACTCATAATCCACACAAATACTCCCAAAGAGTACATAGTAGAACTCCATCTACTATTCCACATTAGGTCAGGTCAATCTATGTCCAACAGTTGATACCCAATTACCTGATTGACCAGTCACCAGACACCCTATATTACCTTCTCTCTACCACCCCCCACCCTTGACCAGTTACCTCAACCCTGTTACAGTTACCCTCTCCACCCCACCCCTGCCCTAGACCTATTCCCTCTACCCTACCAGAATTGCCCTTTCCTCCCCACCCTCTGCCCTAGACCTTTTCCCTCAACCCTACTATAATCACCTCCTCTCCACTATAACCCTCTACCCTCCCATTCAGCCTCTGCAGTACCTTCTCAACAACATGATTACATTCAAAGCAATGGTAAATAGCAGCATTTGGTAAAGGCCTCTGGTGTCTGGGTTAACCCAATGATCTGAATGACAAAAAAAAAGAGGCTTGAGGAGCAGGTGACATGAACATGCCAGCATGGAAAAAATTGGCTGAGGACCAGATGGTGGGAATGACTCACCACACATTTTTTCCATCAATCATTGAGTTGAATGAGCCATGACTGGAAGAGCACCAGCTCTAGGGAGGATGTCATTTCCATGCTCAGGATCCTACTCCTAACGACTGTGATGAATGACAGGTTTTATCAGAGAAAAATAAATATTTAAAAAAATATGACCAAAGTAACAATGTTTCTTATTGTTAGTTTTATTGCACTGAGGTATGTACTACCTAAACAGATGACAAGAAGACTATGCAAGGGAAACAGTTAATTACAATCTGGATACAGCATTATCAAATAATAAATATAGACTTTGGAAATTGACATAAAAGCTAAAAACCTTTATACGGAAAAAGAGATACGTGTTTGTATGTGTCCGACCTACAAGCCACAGCCATGAAAGTGGCCATTTAAGCGAGCCTAATGCCACATGTTGGCAGCAAACCATCCAGATCTAAGTGTTAATATAAGCCAACACCTGGCATCTGGTACGGTGCTAAACTATCATCACATTACAGATACCCATGGTCTTTAGGTTAGGCTAATAAACTAAAACAGTGAACTTGGCATAAAAGTACATGCCACCCCAGCCACAGTTGGTTAACTGTTACTTGTAGATTTATATTTAAGAAATTAATGTTGATGTAAAGAGATAGAATCATGAAATATATCCATTGTTACACAGGAAAAAATAAGTTATCAATTACAATAACTGAATTTGAGGAAGAAATAATGATTGAGGTTGCTAATTCTGAATGTGCATGTAGAGACAAAATGTCAGCGATTTAGATTTTTGGTAATAGTTTAAATGTTTAAAGTTTAAATGTGTGAGAGTGTGCACATACATATGCTGTACTGAAAGATGTCATGAACTTTTTTCCAAACTTTCAGTTGTTGCTGCATGGTGCATGAAGTATATTGACACTAGTATATGATGTATACATTGTGATGATACATTAATTTTTATATGTATTTGATTTTAAAATGTAAGGTAATATTGGTGGTATATTAATTTCCACAATTTGTAGGTTTGATTATTTCAGAATAAAAAAGAAATAGATATATATTTTATATAAAGTGCATAAATCAAAGTATTTTATTTAGGAAGAATTAATATGTGATGTTTTCTCAAATGGAAAGTGCAATTTCATGTGCACTTTTTAGGTTGTTTCCTCCTTTTCTTTATATCCATATACACAAATACAGGATTGAATGGCAGTGTTTGAATTAATGGGATCCCTTCTTTAGCTCTGAATTTCAAGTACTAAATATTACTGGAGAACATTGTGCTATGCTTCAACTTTTGATTATAATACTACATTACTGTCTTTGTAGGGATTATGTTTTATGTTTTTGTTCAGGTCATGTATATGAGTTTTGTGCATCAAAGAATTATTCTCCTCAGTATCATTGCACAGTAAAGTAAATTTTTCCAAGTGTCAGGTGTCTTGACATAGTGATAATATGGAGAGTTGCTGCTGGTCATTCCAAAATTTATTTAAATTTTCTTATAGCTCTGGAGATCAAGAAGCATTGCATTCAGCAATATTGCAGTTTTGTTATAGTACAGTGCAGTAACTATGCATTTCTTTGTTACATATAGTTGTGCTGATTTTTTAGTTTACAAAAGTTGATGTGTGTGTGTGTGTGGTTGTGTTTTAAGTATATTTTATCTGAGACTTTATTCAAGTATTTTTTACTTTAAAGACTTAAACCTTGTTAGGAGTTTTTTCTTTCTCTTTTTAAAGAAAAGTAATCTTTTGTATTAGTGATTCTCTGTGTGAATGAATATGTATTTGTGTATGTATGTGTTTGAAAAAACACATTTACTTACATATTTCTAGGAAATAAGAAATATAGGTTCAGCAACATTATTAAGGGTTGTACACAGTGATTTTTTTAAAAATTTATGCTATTGATGTGTTTGATAAAGAAAAAACTTGATAGATAATTTTCATAATGCTAATACTAACAAAAATTGATAAATGTTGACTTTTTCAGCCTGGACTCAGGATGTCCCTGCCACCCAATTACCGGCAGGTGGCCATGATGGGACCACCCCTGCTCCTGGACCCACTC